TGACAATGTCACTGACACTTCAATTATAGGAATAGTGAGAGAGCACTTGACTCCCCAACGCAGTTATTTCTTCCTCTTCCTCAATGTTTGAGGCGACACAACTCCATCTACAGGCACTACGATGCCACTTCTTCAATCTGTCTCGTGAATAGCACCCACGAAGAGCTCTGATACCGATGAGGGATGATGCAGTAGAGCGACATAGACAATTCACTTACCTTCAAGGTAGGCGGTCTTGAGTGCGGTAATTTCAGTTGGACTAAGGCAGCAAATAATGTCATTAACATCTCCACCAGCTGAACCCGTCTTCTTGAAAATTTTGTACAATTCAGCCGCCAAAATTTGGATCGGACCGAGGAAGAGATTTCGTGCCAATTCTCCAAAATCTCCACTCAATTCACTATCCAGCACATCCAAGAGATCCTATCACAAAGTGAAAAATTAAACCCAACTGAAGCAAGCACAACGCTGTAGTACCCTCATTGTCTAAGCGCAACTCTATTTTGGCTAAATATTCAGTAGCTCTTGCTCAAGTAGACCTTCACAACCGATGTCAATGCCATGAGCCTTACCTTGTTGTACTTAGAGAAGTAAGCCAAGCGGATTTGATGCCTTTCAGGCAACTTCCGCTTGCCAATGACTTGAATTATGTCCTCCTCCTTGGTGCCTAGAAAGGAACGAGAAAAGGCAATCTAATGTTGTCGGCTAAGAGTGGCATAAAAATTTCACCCACCCCCCCCTTCAGTCAAATAATGATAAGTGTACTTTTAAAAGTTCTACTCCTGTAACCCAGCCAGACCGTCTGGCCTCGGGGCCTTTGAGGCACACACTATCAAGCCTTACAGTGCATCGAAGTTGTAGTACTACACCTTCTATCGTCTTCGGAAAACGCAAACAGTCTTAAGCACACATTTCATTGTTTTAAAGCTGTCCAGCGAATTTGATGTCGAGCAGGAGAGCAGAACACCGCGCCCAGTTAATGTTGACAGAGAACGAGTCGTGAAAGTATTACTATTTAGCTAAAATTCACCCACGCAAGTAAGGATGACTAAATGGATGTGTTCCTTTTCGGGGAAACCGAGCACAGTCCAACGTACCGAGTCCCTTGCAAGCATTGTAAATTCGTTCGGCATCGGCATTATAGTCGTGAAGCATGTCTCTCAGTGGTCAAGGGAAGTAATTCTCTGCAAGGTAGTGCAAAATTTCCAAACATAGAGCTGCAGGAGGAGTTGGTAGGCAAGAGGGTAAAAAACGTTATCAGACAGACCAAAAATGTGAGAAAGTAGATGAGGCACTGCCTTTTTATTGGTACAAAAGTGGAAAAGAATATGCTTCTTCAACTCCTGCCATTGTGAGGAGAGCACATTTTTGGACTCCGCTGAAAGGTTGGACTGGAAGCCGCGATCCCTTATGCACGTTGTCAACACATACTCTGCTTGAGCCCTGCCATTGTTCGCCTTCTAGGGAGAAAGTCTTGAAGCGGTGCCTTCAAATAAGCGTGAACTCATCAGAACATCATTCTCAAGCTCCC